TGGTAATGTGAGTAGACGTTACAGCACAGGTCACCCCAGAGTTACAACGCCGAATGAGGACCGGTATTTGGCAGTTACTGCCAAAAGAAACAGGCGGAGCACAGCCTCAGACCTGTCTTGTCAGCTCTCTTCAGCCACTGGTACGACAATTTCAAGGCACGCCGTGGACAGACAGACGCTTAGGGCAGATTGGTCTATATGCTCGTAGAGCTGTCAGATGTGTTCCACTTACTGCAACTCACTGCCGCCTGCGGTTAGCCTGGAGTAGAGAGCATGCATTGTGGACACCACAACACTGGGCTTGTGTGATGTTATCCGACGAGACCAGGTTTAGCTTGCAGTCTGATTCTCGCCGGACTTTCATATAGAGAGCTCCAGGTACCCGTTACCACCAAGAAAACATCATTGAACGACACCGTTACGGTGGTGCAGGAGTGCTCGTTTGGGGTGGAATTATTCTGGGTTCCAGAACTGACCTGCGTGTTCAAATTGGAACCATGACAAGCCAAATCTATCAGGACGTCATTCTGGAACAACATGTATGGTTGTTTCGGGATGCCATGGGCGCACAATTTGTGTTTATGGATGACAACCCCTGTCCTCACCGTGCAAACATCGTAAGCGAATGCCTTCAATCGGAGGCTATCACCCATATGGACTGGCCAGCATTCTCACCGGATTTGAATCCAGTAGAGCACGTGTGGGACATGCTTGGCTGACAAGTTGCAGCCCGTGAACCTCCTCCTACATGTCTACCGGAACTTCGGAGAGCATTGCTTTTTGAGTGGTGTTATATCCCCCAAGATCAGATCGATAATTTGATACACAGAGTGCCTAGGCGTTGTATGGACTGTATTGTATCATCTGGGAGACATACAATGTATTAACAATCATAACCAACCATGTAATATTGGTTTTTTGTAAATATTTTTTTTTTTTTTTTTTTTGCTAATTTGCTGTAGGGAGAAAAATTGCTAATTTTTTTATAATATCAAACATATATCATCTTTTTTTGCTCTTTACCTTTTGTTTAATAAATAAGCTTTACAAATGAGTCAAATTTGTTTTGCTTCTATCTCTTCCTTTGTCTGATTTTGCATTATCCTTAATTTATGGATATGAGTGTAGTATGAATTCACTCTTTTAAGATAATCTTACTATAATTAAACTTAGGAGATAATATAATCATAATCATATTATTAGTAAATATATGTAAATAAAATATATGAATCAAATTATAGATAAACTATAAAACATTAATTCCTCTTCTTTATTCTAAAATCGTAATAACTCTGCATTGCGTCATTCAAATTAATCATGCGATCTACGTAACTGCTAATGCAGATGCCTCTTGACCCATCACCAAATTGCAAACAAAACTTCTTCTCTCTCGTCGCGTGCTTCCATCCTTCATAACTATGCACCTCAGCTTCTATTGTGCTAAGATGTAATTTCGCTGGCTTGCTTTCTATCTCAACAATATCAAAAATGTAAATCTTCTGTGGAAAGGCACGACTAGAGTGCCAAGTGATTGTGGCCACAAATATCAGTTGCCAATAAAAATGGAATTAAAACTGCCTCAACTGCCAAGTTCTTTAGATATTACCAAGTTAGCATTACTAGCATACTACGCAATCAAATTCTTCTTCAATATGGGTCTAATCACGCATCTATAGTGTTCCGTCTTTTCCTTTGCTTTTATTATGACATATCTACTACTATTCTTTCAAATCTTTTTGCAGCATTATGCGCAAAAGTTTTTGAGACCATTTACGTCTTTCGTGTAATTACCAGTTCGCTTTACATTTTCTTTTTCAATTAATATTCTTTTTAGCAGCCTCGAGCGCTGAAAGTTTAATAAGTTTGATTGTTTAAGTGTGTTTCAATTTCACTTTCCAAGCTTCAGCTTTTAAGTTACCGGATACTGTTTACAGTTCCACTTTCACGATAGGTTAGTCTTCCTTCCAAAAAACACTGTAAAGCAGGCTAGCTCCCTCTTTACTTTCATTAACAGGCTCTGATCAATCATATAGAGATAATTAAATGAAGCAACAAGCTTTGTAAAACTTGTAAGGCTAATGCTACTCCACTTCCCACCAATACTAATAAGACACAATCACTATGAAAGACTTTCAATTGTATCTACTTAATCACCTGTAAAGAATGTTCTCTCACGTATATAGGTCAGACAAAAAACCATCTCAACCTCAGAATTAATAACCATAGATCTCAATTAAAAATTTAAAAATAATAGCAATAATCTCACAAAAAATAATCAGCATACAGCTATTCTCGAAGCATTATAATATGCATAATTTTGATAACACAGAAATTACTGTGCCTTGATATTGTACCGAATACTAAACTTAGACTGTTTAAGGAATCCATATACATACTTCAAAAAAAGTCACTTTACCCTTACGGATTGAATGCATATCTGAGTCATACCACCAATAGACAGACAGAAGTCTCAATATATGGACAATTCAGATTTTTTAGCAGTATAACACGACCAGAGGTACCAGAGGAGGTGATTCCAAACACAAAAATTTTTTTTTCTACTCAAGATCTGAAATTAATAAGTTAAAAATCTTCATTCCTTCCTTGAACATAATGAATTTGCTAAGAATGCCATAAAACTTCTACATACATTTAAGAATGTTACTTTGTGGAATCTGATTAAAGTCGTAAATGAAAATTTTAGCTGTTTACAAATCATAAAAGAGCTAATTATTAGACTTCTGCAATTTTAAAGCTAAAAAATAGCAATTTTTTTCACAAAAAACTGTTTTGTACGGTACAATTCAAACACCCTTCTTACGATCAACTAAAAATACCTAACATTTTCAAAAAATATCAACACTTGCTTCCTGAACAACAACTCCAAATTAAGCCCTGCTTTAAATTTGAAAAGAACTTAGGTCAACTAGTTATCAACCACCACGAAATTCAAGAAAATAGCATGTGTCATTGCCAACAGGCTCTTTACCAAAAATATGTCGATCCTTTCCACCAACATGTGATAACAGGAGATCTTCAACATCATTGAAGACTTAGAATTATGAGACCTTTTACAACTTGGCACCAAATTTCGTCCTACTTTTAGAATCAATAAACATCTTTGCCTCAGACAATTCAATCAAGATCTTGATAAATTTATCATGTTTGCTAGTAATAAATCCAATTTACCTACTACCACATTTCTTGAATGGAAAGCTGCACTGATTACAGAATTTCAACATTCACTCTTCAAGGCACCTTCTTTCAACTCTCTACACAATAAGAACGACTCTTGATCTAATCAACAAACTACAAGATAATTTTATCATTACAAAAATTGACAAAGCCTAGCAACAATTTTAGTGTTATTCTGAAAAAGTTTTATTTCGACCTTCTGCACAAAGAACTAAATAGTAATGGCACTTACCAAAAAATTACCTTACCAACACCAAAATTCTTATCAATAAATTTAACGCACTACATTGAAAAGACTTAAGATACATCCACGGAAATATAATAACAGATTTCGCCAAATCTCTATGCCCTTCCAAAATTTCATAAGTCACCTATTAAATTCAGGTTCATTGCCAATAGTACCAAAACTTATCTTAAAGAAATAGATTATCTTTTTGCAAAAAAACTTCGTTTAATACGTGACCTTCATTAATAACTATGATTTTCAAGATCTGCATACTGCAACTGGATGATTTCAAGTAACGAACTTGTAGTTAAGACAATTAATTCAATTAAAATCGACCATATACAATGCTACGATTTCAAAAACCTTTATACTACCTTACCGCTTGAGGAAATTTATACCAGCTTACTTGCTCAAGCAGATATAATTCCTCAGATTTCTACAATAATTGATAACAAAAAATGGCAACTTTTTCTTACGAGCATGCTTTTCAATAATTATATTCTCTTTAACAATTGTATTTTTAAACAAATACAAGGGATCCCAATGGGTGGAAATTTTTCGAGCTCCGTCTGCGAATTATTCCTTTTCACAAGAGAATTGACATTTGTCCGATCTCTGGATGTAGCAGAACAAAAATTTTTTCAACACATTTATCATTACATTGATGATATCATAGCCATTAACAACCATAACAAAATAGAAGCAGCTAATATCTACCCAACTAGCTTAAAGCTAAATAAAACAAATACGGTGCAAAATAATATAGTATACCTTTACCTTAATATCATTGATTACAATTTTATTAAAGTCTACGACAAGAGGAGAGAATTCACTTTTTCTACACTGAAGTTAACAAACTGGAATTCTAATATTTCCAAAAGAATCATCATTAACACAATTTTTTCACAGCTTCTTAGAATAAAAAGGATCTGTAATGCAACAGAAAACTTACAAGAAGAAGTACTTTACTTCGTCACAACTTTGAAAAATAACCAAATTCCTAAGAAAATAATTAAAAATACTTTAAAAAAAGCTGGCATTAGCCTTACCAATTTTTAGATAATTAGTTTGGGATAATGAAATTTTCTGCTTAAAGCCTATTGGAGGGCAGATGATGGATGGCTAATTCAGATTATCTAATGTAAAAATTGTATAAATGTACAGTTAATTCTTCTACAAACATTTACTTTCCTCCAAAGTTTTTGGCACTCTACTTTAATACTATTATGTAATAGTTTTAAATTACTTAGAAGGCCAGACTCTACTTTTATTAACAAAATCAGGCCTTTTCATTTTTCATAGTAGCTTGACAGCCCTCTAGCTTGAAGAATGACTTTTATTAACAGATGATTATTTTCCAATTTACGCTTTCTTTTGTGGCCAAAACTAAGTAATTTTAACTGAATTAGCCATTTTCACTTATTTTTAACAGTTTTGTTCTTCCTACAACTTGACTGACGCCATTTTGAGTTCTTTCCGTGTCTTTTCTCATTTGTCACCCCCTTCTGTAAAAAAGAGGGGGACCCGCCAACTTTCTCTCTCAGCCCATTGGCCTCTTCAGTTTTATTAGCTTCGCACGATGACGTCATTGTACGATAAGGAAGGTTGGTTTGAACAAGAAGGGATCTTGCGCCCTTTTCCAAAAATTTTTCCGGAAGCTAAGGACGGAACCTCTCAGGTCAGTTTTTTCATTTTTTGTATAAGTTTTTTGGTCCTAATAAGACCCTGCGACGTTTTTACTTACTAAATTGAATACATTTTTTTACTTACAATGTCGATTACATTTTTTTTACTTACAGTGTCGATTACATTTTTATCTGTTTACAGCACCTTTCTTCTAATAAAAGTTACGAAGTCTTTAAGGTAAAGGACCAACCCGTACGTTGATGTGTATTTTGACTAATAGCAGACCGCTATTTATTTTAATTTATTATTTTTCTACTTTGATTTATATTTTGATTTTACATCGCTCGGAATCATAATAGCCTTTGACACCTGTGTTTTTCAGCGGACGCGTCGGGAAAAAGAGACAGAGCAGTGGAGCTACTAAAAAGGATTTATTCCAAAAGAATTTTTTCGGAAATACTAATATACTTTTGTAAAAAGTTTTTTTCGCATTAAACAAGAGCTTCAATGGTCTGTTTCGGCGAAACGTGTAATGGTATTTAGCCTATTTCGTAGAACAGTTTTTTCCCTTGAAAAGCCAACTGAGAGTACGAGTGGGCTAATATACCATTTTTCCGCTATTTGATTATTGTTTTTGTAGCTAGTTTTTTATGCTTTTTGAGTCTTTATTATATTTTTTAATTTTTATGTATTGGCATATTATATATTGGCAATTTTAATTTTATTTTTTTGTGTATAGGCATTTTATATATTGACATTTATAATCCATGTTTTTTGTAACTTCCTAATATATAATATATTTTTTTCTGTCCATCTTTTTTCATGTGAGTTAACTTTTCACATTACACAACGGTCAGATTAATTAATTTTTTCGTGCAATAGCAAGTCTTCCAGCACTAAAATTTGGCAGTTTTATCGCGCTTATACAGTTTTTCCAGTTTTACCAGGCAAATTTCTTATTGTTTATGTAGTACTATGTTACAACATTTTGTGGAGCCACAGCTCCAGGTAACTTTTGAGCAAGGTTGCTGCAATGTTCCTACCTACTACTATTCTTTCAAATCTTTTTGCAGCATTATGCGCAAAAGTTTTTGAGACCAGATAGGTCTTTCGTCTAATTACCAGTTCGCTTTACATTTTCTTTTTTTCAATTATATATATATATATAAGAAAAATCATATAGAGTCCGAAATGAGTCTCGGTGCTGAATCCTAATTCTATCTTTCTTTGTATTTATAGCCTTCATTATTGTCTTTGCAAAATTTTTCAAATTTAAATAGTTCCTTTTAAAATCTTCTTTAAAATTCTTTCTATATTTCTCTATAACTAACTATATTTGCCCCTTAAATTTGCTTTAACCATTTCTTATAAAAGATAAATTACATTGTATGGAAATTAATATTTAGAAATATTAAACTCTATGCTAGCAGTTCTGAAGCATTAACAATTAAGCATAATTTATTACTTAGACATCATAAGAAAATGTTTTATTATTTAATTTAGTTTAATTACATCACTGATTGACTTAAAGATCATAAAAATGATTTTTTAACCAGAACTGAAATAGGAAAACAAAATATTTTTATGAAATATACAGGCACGGTAAGATGGCTTCCCCGCAAGGCAGGTTTAGGGTTGCCATCACATGGCAAGGAAGGCAGGGTTGCCACATTTGGCGACAAAATATACCATGGCAGTATACCATGGACGGATAAAGAACGTTCTGGAACGAATTCTTCTCGGTTTAGCCCAGAATGTTCACGAACACAAACTGATAGCTATATAAACCCTGCCGGCCCGCAGTCAGTTAGTGAGTACCTCGTCGAGAGGGCGAGTCAGTGTGTGTTTCGTCTAGAGTGCGAGATAGTTAGTCTCGAGTTAATCAGTCCGTGTGGAGTCTATCGAGTTAGCAGACGGGCAGCGAGTGCCGAGTGGGTCATTGAGTGCATCAAAAGAGTCTCTTATATCGCTGTTAGTGCATCGTCGAGAGAGTGTGTTAAGGTTCGGAAACGACTAAACCAAAGAGTCAGGAGCTGTGCTCTGTATGTCGTTGAGTGCATCGCAAGTTGTAGCGTGGAGTCTCGAGAGTACGTGGAGTTCCGAGAACGACCGAGCAGAGTCGGGAGCTGTACTCTGATGCATTGCAGTGAAGCTGTCTCCACCGTTATAGCCTGATAACCTGAAGGCTGTGTCGCTGATTGTTCCAGTGAGAGTGTAGTAGATCCTCGACAACTGTAAAACGTGACTTTGGAGCTGTCCTGATTAATACCGGCCAATAAAGCATGTTTTGATACTGCATCAAGTAGTGTCGTCGTAATTCACTCCAAATCAACACAAACCCATACAAACGTGAAGGAGAAAATAATGTAACAACTGGTGTCAGAAAAGAAAAACATAACAATATTTTACTGAAAAAAAGAAAAATGTAAAGACAAATCTCATTAACTGATATAAAATGCACTTTAACCATTTATGCCTTCCTGTAATTTCAAGAAATGGAAGGTAACCAGTGATTTCTCAATAGCCGGGAGAAAACTATATCAGACTGGAGTGAGCGTCAGTTTTTAGTTCATCTAAGCTGATTGATTGTGGAATACTGAGAGATCATGCAAGCTTTGCTCTTTAGATGCGCTTTGCATTGTTTGTACTTAATTTGGTAACTACCGATTGTAGTGTGTTATACTGAGAAATGCTGTATATGTGCTTTTGTGGAAAGCTCCAAAACAGCAGTGTTTCTTTTTGGAAAATAAATTTTATTAAACTATCATCAATTCTGTGTGCATTCAATGCATTACAAACCCATAAGCACACAACAATATATATGTGAATATATGTATAAGTAACTGTAAACTTCCTTATATAATTTTATGATTTGGCACTTCATAGCATTTTGATTTTAATAAACTTTCCAGCCTTAAGGGGAGAGGATATGCAATCTTTTTTAGATTATTACAAATTAAATATACAGTTATAGTGCAAACAACATTACAAAAGTACATAATTTCCCATTTATCTCAAAAAAAAAAAAAAAAAAAAAAGAATGTCTTCACCCCCCCCCCTTTTTTTTTTTTTTTTTTTTTTTTTTTTTTTAATCCTTTGACAAAGGTCTGGCTTGAGAAGTTTCATCTTATAATTAAAACTTCTGTTATAATTTTCTTATAAATCTAATTTAGCAAGATGGATTTTCGTATGAAAGAAACATTCAAAAGCTATAGTAAACTATTCCAAATGATAAATATTGCTATGAGATAACAAGCACATGAAAACAAGTTTTATAAAGCATGTGTTAGTTTGTTCCTGTCTGTATACAGCAATATGAACTGTACAAATGTGCATCCACCTGACCAACTAGAGACTGACTCAAGAAAAGTGTATATTAGTAGCACCAACATAATAGAAAAAATGTAAATGCCAGAATACTGAAGCACCAGCAACTGCTGGCTGGTGAATTATATTTACTGATTGTTTTGATGTAAGAAATTCTCCCAACTTACTCCAATCATGTAGTCTGCTGTACAAGCATACAATGATGAAGATAAAGCTCCAACCTCTTCATTCAGTCTTGTAGTGCCCATAACCTGAGAAGGAGAAAGAAAAGCCTAGCCAGCAGAATAATTAGTCTGACGGAGCAGGTGGTTCGTTGGACGGAAGGAGAAAGGACGAACAGGAAGACGAGGGGAGCGAAGAGGACTTTGCACCCTGGTTGTCGGACGGGACGGTCCGATTTTTTTTGGCGGGAAAGGATCGCCATTTCTTTCGTGATGCAGAGATTGTTTTTTCTCATCCGGCGGAGACAATGCCGGACTTACCTATTCATGCTTGTACATATAATGTATAATAATCAAGAATTGTTTACGTATGAATCGTTTACTTTAAAAGTTTATTGTTAAACAAACAAAAAATGGGTGTCATCTATGCGTCGATCGACGGTGACATGTGTGAAGCAACTGAACCCTACGCTACGGTATAATACAACGATGCTTATCTGTCTCGGCAAAACTACCACAGTCAACTACAAGTCTCATTTCCCTTCAACAGCAGTCATGCACATAACCTCAGCCCATGTTGCTATATCTCTAAAATTATGAGCACTGTATTTACAACAAAATATAGTAGAAATATATTTGAAAGCCATTTAAAAGTGCTTCAGACGATGTGTAGTGCCGGGTGCACTGACACAGAGCATCTCCAGTAGCTAATGATACTTGTCATCTTGTTGGATTGGATGCAGGTTTTGCTGATGATGTGGACACAGTGAAATTAACTTCTGGTTATGTGTTTAAACTTCACAATGTTAAGTAATCTGAAGAAGCTGGAATTGATCAGCTTTTTGTACCTCCACCACTGAGGCTAAATATGTTGTAGTTTCAACTGGTATGAAATAAACATTGTGGTTGCATCAACACCTACATGTAATGAAAGCGGAATATATGAAAAAGATGTTATCCCTGTGTTCTCTTCATTGATAATTGAGTGTTATTAATTTGATCCAAAGCCCTGTGTTTCACAGATGCATAGAGTGCATTAAGAGTGAGGTAGAAATGACCTCAAATTACTCAATCAGCATCTGGAGAAGGGCAGGAAGCTATTAAAAGTATCACTACCTCTCTAAATAAAATAAAACAGAGAATGTCCAGAGCACAAAAAAGGAAACGTGCCAGAGAATTGAAAATTACCAAAGGTACTTGGCTGAAAACCCCAAGGGGAAAGGTGAAAAAAAGCAATCTCAAAGGATGGAGCAGAATGCAGCCCCAAAGACTGCTAAAAGAGAGACACCTGAAGGTTATACCTTCCAGGAGGCTTTTACGGTGGCCAAGATGGCTATACTTATTGAGAACAAACCTAAAAAACCTTTATTGGAGGAATAGGCTACTGACCTTGAACTTCTGATAACGAATAAGCTACACCTAAGCTCTATTAAAGGCCTTTCAGACTTTATAAATGAAGTGGGCAACCCAAACAAATAGAGCTAGGAAGCACTGAGTTTGGTGCATTTGGCACAAAATGCTACTTAGCAGAGATACCTGATACCTGACAAACTCAACCCAAAGA